ATGTAGTATGTATGTAGTTTATAAATTGTTCAATGGATGGCGTTGTGTGTGTCCTTGAAAATAATATGATTAGATTACGTTAGTGGTTTTAGGGGCTAAGCTCTTTACAGACAGACAGACGCTTCGCTGCACTCATCATCATTCACGCCATGGATATGCTGTCATTTTTTTTCTACTAATGAGAATAATTAGCACTTGAGTCTTTTCCTATATAAGTGCTGGTCTATCTAGGCTCGTGCAGAAAGGAATACTCCATCGAAATGACATTATCCGAAGCTTTTCGTTTGCTACTTCCGCGTTACGATGAACATTAAATACCCCATTCACTTTTAACGGAAAGCCCCTTGTGAAAATTTAAACAACAGGCCTCAACGACTTCGTTACGATGATCATTTACTGTACTTCGAGCTTAATGCCTAATACAAATCATGATATGTCAAGACTAAGAATGCGCGAACAGCGAATTTTAGATTCCAGGCGAATAACGATTTTGGTGGAATCCTTTCGAATCGAACATTATATATCATATATTATGTAAAAAATGGGCACGTTTGTCATTACCTAACTAACCTGCACAATATTTTGAAAATCGGAACAATGTCAGTGCGAAATTGTTTTTTTTTTTGCTTCAAAATAAGTGCAACTACAAGTATGTTACTTTCGGTAGAATGATAACAAGTAAAATATATTACGTTTTACATTCGGCTAGACTAGAGCGTATAAGCCGGTACACAATGCTTTTAAACTTAAAAAAGGAACCGATGTGAGGGGATGTCTTCATTCAATCTTGATGTGAGAGTACGCGGCAGTGCGAGTTTTCTTTGGATACGTGTTTTTACGGCGTAACACTTATTTAATGCAGTGAAACCACCCTTACATAAGGTTATATGCGCCTAAATGTACATTTAGATAGGTTCTTTCCCTAATTAGCACCACTTATCTGCAATAATACCACCTTTACAATAATCCATGTGAATAATATACATTTAGATAGGTGCTTTCACGGCTTAGTGCTTATTAACTGCAAAAAAAAAAAATCAACTTTTTCAAGGGTTACATGCGAATTAATACAAATTTGCTGGTTCATTTCCAATACTTCGAAACTATCAATAATTTAAATTCGAATTGAAGCAAACTTAAATACATTAATATGCGTTGGAATATTCGAAGTATTCAAAAATATGAACTATCACACTTCGTCTTAAAAGTTGAACGCGATAGCGATATCCTGTTCCTAGTGCGTCCTTGACTTAGTGCATGAAATGTTTTCAAACTTGCTATCCACCCACTACGTGGCCTTAAGGGGATAGGCACAGTAACGTGTGGGGCTTTTGTAGTGGGTGACCGGCTTTAAACCATCAAGTTATATGATCCCTACATGTTTTGACGCCTGATGGCAATGTACGCTTGTACCACGCATTAGTACTTCAATGTTTCATGTTGGATTGTGAAGCATGTATACAGGACGCGCGTGTTTGTAAATCATAAAAGTTACTTTCACGGTTTTTCCAAGCATAGGAAGTTATTTTCACTGCATTCACGAGCAGACGCGTGGCTTTATGGTAGAACATCTTGTCACACAAAGGACCCGCGTTCAATCCCCACTCAAAACCCAAACGACCCTGGTTCGATCCCCGGTCAAACGCAGAATTTTTTATTTTCGGTAACGCACAAGATGATGATTTTTCGCTCACAACTAACGATATTGACGCCGATGCCTGAATTTCTGCGAAACGAGCTCTTTAACGATGTCGCGTTAATATTCACACAAGCCTAACCAAAACGGTACTCACAGTATGACAGAAGCTGGCTTCTCCACACTATGGCTACTATTGTGGAGAAGCCAGCACAACGCAACATTTCTTTATTTTTTCATTTTAATCAATGGGAAGTTCGTTAAGGACTGCTGTTTAACCGACGTGTGACAACGAATGCCGGGCAAGTTCACCATTAAAGCTACAATTTAGTGTCTGGTAAACCTTGTCGAGGTTCACCCGATTTCGATTAGCCCAAGTCTGAGGCCACATGCGAAAATTGAATTTGCCCTAGCAATGGCCAACGTTTGACTACCAATAAAATGTCAACGTCTATTGCCAGATTTAGCAACGACTGATCTTGAACGAGTGACGAATTGGTGAAACTTGAAGTGATGTTGGATGCGGTGCGCTTATTCATGTGAACATGAGATGAGCTGACATGACATTATGACCAGCATTGTGAACATAATGACGCCAGCACGTAAAAGGACAATTACTCAAATATGAAGTCGACATGGATTGTTGAAACAGCGTCCCAGAAACCTTATAGCGCTTTTTTTTTGCTAAAAATAAATACTTGGTTGGAAGTAAAGTGACATTTCAGTGGTCGGCACGCTATCAAACCGCCGACCTCCGAGAACGGCCTTGTGACGTAGCATTCACCATGCTCTCATGACAAGGTGCTTCAGCTCAGTGCAGCCTTTTCAAAAGTAACATGCCTTAACATGTCTTAACATGCAAAAGTAACATGTAGATTAGACTACAGTGTAAAAGTTTTTATTCCCTCCTGTAAAGCGATGAAGTGTTCTTTACTACATCGATATCAATGCTCACCTGTCACGTACGTCCGCGATGCCATAGTACAAGCCGAGGCAGCAGGACATATCGCCAGAGAACGGACCACTTTTTCTCAAGCCTCTCAGAAAGGCCTTTACAATTGCCATCACCGGGATGTTTCGTACACACCTGGTTCACTAATACTCCATGGACCCAATGTCGTCACATCGGCATCTGCGAAAAGTTCTTATTTCGCCATGACGGACCATACAGAGTCCTGCTCTAGGTCACTGACCTCACATACCAGATACAGCGAATCGTTGACTCAGCGCACTCAACACCCCCACCGCCTGCTGTTGTGCACGTCGTGAGACTGAAGCCGTATGTGTCACCCAACACTCCACTTCTGTGACAAGCGCCGGGTCGGTGCTTTTACGCCGCGTGGTAGTGCCACGTGGCAGTAACGGGTTTGTGGCATAAGGCGAGAGAGGGTCCCGGTCTGGGAGAGACAACTACAAAGTGTGAAAAGACTGGTTTCTGCCCGCCATTGTGCCAGTCATTATCTCCGCCTGCAAATTTCTGTAAATGTACGTTTTCTTGCAACGTTATGTACCCATGACTGGCTTTTTCGCCGGCGCGCCACACACACACACACACACACACACACACACACACACACGCACACACACACACACACACACACACACACATATATATATATATATATATATATATATATATATATATATATATATATATATATATATATATATATATATATATATATATATATATATATATATATATATATATATATATATATATCAGAAATAGAGGAAGAACAATACTGAAGAGTACTAAGAGTACTAACGGCCAGCTGGTGGTACGCAGAGCTCGGAGGTGCTTCAGAATGTTATTTGCGTTAAGTTTCTTTTGAAGTTTACCAACACCTCGGCTGTTCTACAAATAATGAAGATGATAGCATGGGTGCCTTGCGATATCGCCCCTGTGCGAGCTTTTTCCAGGAAATACAAATTAAGGAGCGTTATTTATTAATAAGTCGACCCTTTGTAATTACTAACGAAACTTTCTTGAAATCCCGCTTTGTCAACTTAGGTGAAACCTAAGCTCTGAAATAGTTGTCAGTTTGCTGCCTAGGTACTCAGTTCTAGACAAAGCGACGTCTTTTATGAATTTAATTGTTTATTCAAGCAACCAAGAACATACTATGTAAGTTACTTCTTTTGTAAATAATCTTGTTATTATGGTATAAATTATTTTCTCGACAAGTCTGAAGTCACTATTTTAGCTTGTTTTGTTAAAGTGTTCGTTCATAAGGTCTTTTTAGAAGGTTGAACAATAATCAGAATTTATCATCTTTAATATTGTATTGAATCAAGCTGGTTGGTACATATTGATCATTAAACGACAAAACAGCGCCTCAATAAGACAGAGACGAGAAGATAGTAACAAGGCATCCATTTAGCGTCCTGTCGTCTTTGTGTTCTAGCCCTATTTCATCGTTAAAAATCTCCTCTATAAAATCATCTCTCTATTGTGAATTTCTGTGATAGCATAATTTTCTAACATAATAAAATATAGAAGTAGGGCTGCCCGACTCTTGGCCTATTCACGGATATTGGTAGGTGTCATGTTGCAGGATGATCATCATAGTTATCAATATCATCATAATTTTGTACCCTCTTAATAATGTCAATTCGAATTCAAAGCTGACGGGTACTAACGTCTTGAATTTCTAGACGCGACAATAGCATTTACAAATGGACGGGTGCCGAAAATGACGTCGAAGAAAAATATCTGTTTGCAAGCAAAGCACCGTAATTTTCTTCCGTTAGTACACTTGTGCAACATAAATTCTAGGTTACGAAACCAGTTCTATGAGTGCTGACAAAAAAAAAAAAGAGTGCATTGTCGATATGTTCTTTTCTGCTGCGCCTTGACTTGTAGAAGTGGTCCCCGCGATCAAGAACAAGGCCATTTAAATAGCGAAGCTTGATATGGCTAGGGCGTGTCCATTGTCTGTGTCTTCCGTGGCCAAAAGCATACGTGCCACAGAAATCGGGTAAACACCAGTACTCACCAGTCGTACACGATGGGCTGTTAGTATTTCCACCAACGCCAGTTAAAATCGTTCTCGAAATTACAAGACCATGCGGTAAGCCAGACAAGAGAGATGACGCAGGTCGCGACAAGAAGATCCATCCTGCTCTAATGGAAAACGTTAAAGTAACAAAGGCTAAATCCAAAAGGGACCCTCTGGACAGCCAATTGGGACTTTGTTCGAGTGTGTGAGATAGGCTATGATATGTTTCGGAATCCTGTGTCACCTCTGCGTTGTCTGCTAAACACTTTCACCGGTCATCTAACTTCACGTAGAGTGTAATCACTACTCCTTATTTTACAAGTGATTTCTTCAGCAACGTGGCTGTCTCGCTTCTCTCGAAGGCGTCGCCAGCGCGGCGAAGATCATGGCCAGCTGTCCTGTAGCCGACAAGCACCTCTTGGACGAGATCAAGGTGAGCATTGCTCTCTCTATGTGTCTAAGGCGCTTGTGGTAACTGTCTCCTAATTTCATAAGTCAACCCGTTTGACAAGCGCTGTCGTGTAAGAGAACCCACCGTGGTAGCTTGTGTGTTGTGCTGCTAAAATCATGGGCACCAGTTCAATTACTGGCCATGGCGGCCGTTGTATTTGTACGGGGGTGATATGTGCTTAGACTTGGGTGCGTGTCAAAGAACACCAGGTAACAATCAACGTTCCTCCCACACATTACTACATGCCTCACAATCACATTGCGGTCGCGGCAAGGAAAAGCCAATGCATTTGTGCGCTGTTCAGGTGAACAAAAAATCATAATTGAATATCTACCAGTTCTTAGTGTTATTCACAGCAAGCTCATAGGTACACCTCAACTTTACTGAGTTAAGGTAGGCACTCTATGCGTCTTCTTCGTGCTCTGTTGCGTTTCAGCCGCTTTATGTGTGAGGAGCTATCACCACCTAGCCGGCTAGCAAATGTTGCTGAAGTCCACAACTAGCCTTGTTTTAGGCGCGGAGCTCCTTAGGACCTAGCCTTGTCTTCCGTTGTGGTCGCGGTTTAGAAATAACGGTTGCTTTAGTCGAAACTCATGTGAGACACGCAAAAAAGGTTTTACGATAGACTTCAGCGTAGACTATAGGCTAATTATAAAGTAAAAAAAATTGCTGTGCGCGGCGAAAATAACCTATTGAGAAGACCATTGATGATGGATGATCTTTACTAAAATGTGCTTAGATGTGGAGGTGTCTCAAGAAAACCTCTAACACAATGACACATGTGCACGCTGAGCATCATGTACGTTCCAATAAATTACCCATACTAAAATGGTATCTCGCCACCGGTAAAATTGCTGCTTCTTGGATTCACTTTCAAGGCATATCCTCCATTTCAGCAATTTTCTATATTCTCCTTGAATTGCCTAAGACGACTGTAAGGCGAAATAAATTAACATTTTTATACGCACTTTATGTCGCTCAATTTACATTACATGGGACAGCGCTGGGGTAACGTACGGTTACTCATCTTCGTTCAGCGAACTGGGAGTTCGGGAGAACACACACCCAAGACGCGAAGAAGAAGCACACAGCCTATTCTTCGACCAGTTGTTAGTGAGCGTGCTGTGTGCCTCTTTGTCTCTTGTGTGTGTTCTCCCGCGCTCCCAGTTCGCTGAACGAAGATGACCTACCATCTAGCCCACATTTCTATCCTGTTTCAACGTACGGTTACTCACCAATAAGACACTCAGATTTTCGCCCACTCGTTATGACTTACTTCGTGATAATGCGCGGATTAAAAAAAAAGCTGAGTTTAATAGAACAGCACAGGATGTCTTAATGAAATAGCGCATGTTGGTTTGAAAAGGCTACCTATGCATACATTTAAGGCTTCGTTCTGTTATACATTATCGGTAACGAAGCGTCCTACTTGCTACGAAGTACTGGCAAAGAAGGCGAACGTGCGCACCGGTGGTTGCGCTTTCGCACATTTGATGTGGCCCCCAAAATAAGCATCCGCGGATAAGAACACTGCTTTCGACACCACCTCGGTGTGCTTGTATGAAGTGATTCTCAGACTTTTGCGTAGCTTGGAAACGGTATATTGCATAAAATTAAAGGAACATTGTCTGATATTACAGTCGTAATCTGTAGGGTGCGTGTACAAATGTTGCCTGAAACTACACGTAAGTCACATGGGACGAAATTAATTGAACTTGTACGCATCGCATTTGTTTGTATGGTGCTTAATGAACCACTTCACGAAATTTTTCTTTTGGACTCTTGCCAACATGTGTCCTATATTGACATTTATATACTTTTTCATTCATTCGGTACTTGTAGAAACAAGCATGACGTGGCCAGAGCAATTATTATAAGACCCGTGGTGACTGACTTTCAATAATCTGACAGCATGAAATCGGCTTTGCCCCTGTCAAAAGTGTCCGCCTCGGAAAAAACGTTGGTCACTGGTTGGATATTCTCGATGAGGGTGATTGCTTCACCTTCTGTGAACTTTTTTGATTTCGGCCAAACCATATTACCTTCGTAGCTTCGAGCCCTTCATATGTGTGCGACTATTATCACGTGTCGTGGAACTTCTTATACGTACCAGAATGTCCGCAGGACTCATCTGCTAGAGTTAAACTACTGCTTAGCATACTCTCTTCCAACCAAGTACCTGTACACTGCAGAAAAGTCGAACAGTGTCCAACAGACGAAATCGCGGCGACGTCGTCCCTGGAAGAAATGTAAGGAACGGTAGCTCTAACTTTACGAGCATGGTGGGAAATATAGCAAGAAGTTTATCGTCAGCGGAACAGGCGCCGACTCTGAACACGTCGTTTTCCACGAAGTTGTGATTCTCTGTGATTCTCTTGCATGATTTCAATCCCGAGGGCATGCATGCTCGCTCGAAAAAGCACATTTGGTACTCAAGCTACTTCCCTGTTCCTGAACGTTATCTGAATTTCATGGGCGCACTACGTGATATATGCTTTCGTAACTCCGTCCTTTTCTTCGAATACTCGACAAAAAAAAGTAGTCGCTTTCAACTTTGGATTCTCCATTCCGCAGTCAAGATCTATAATGCCGAATATGTCCACAATAGCACTATGAAGACCGACCACCACAAAGTAAAAGGAAAAAGAGAACAAACAATATACGTCGAAATGCGTGGTACTTACTATGTATAGTAGTCATAGCCTACATTATTTACTGATGTGGAACGTTAGTAGAATACACGTAAAAGAAAATAATAGAAAAAGAGCAACGCGTCTTTACCTTTTCTGCCTATATTAAGAAAAGTACAGATAGAGGCTAAATATGTCTCGCATGACGCACACACACACACACACACACACACACACACACACACACACACACACACACACACACACACACACACACACACACACACACACACACACACACACACACACACACACACACACACACACACACACACACACACACACACACACACACACACACACACACACACACACACACACACACACACCATCGGTATTTACATCCCATGCGCTGTGCCAGTCGTCTTTTGTGGTAGGCACGTTGTGACACATACTTTCAATTTGTCGCTTCATCTACTTGTAGAAGTCCGTTCGCCGAGGGATTCCAGTCGGATGGATGTTACCTGCTCTTCTGATGGGCTTTACGTATATCCATGCGTAATGCCATGTAAAACGTAAATTCAGTACCGCACCTGATCCGACTTCGCAATTTCTTGAATGTCCCTGCAGTTCACCATAGAGCCCCGATTACCTTCCAAAAATCATGGTGAAGTATTTCGCTGCCCTATTCGTAGCCATAAAAATTTCCTAGCGAACAAAAGTAGAAAAGGATCTTTCTTTTGTCTTATAAGTGGTTAAACTATCGCGATGGCGGTCAAAACTGTTGTTGTTGGCAACAAGCTAAGAACAGAGCAATACAAAAAACAAAAAAGCGCAGTGTTGCGGCAAGGGTGAAGCAATGACTGCAGTAGTAACAAACTGTAATTTCATACGAAGAAAGCTTGGGAGCTAGCTTTTTTTTATGATACGATATCGCGTAAATCTACAATGTATGCACGACTTTGGCGGACTTATCGTCGGAAAGGCCATGTACAGTGGGGATGAGAGCAAGCCACACCGATGGAATGCAAAGTAATGCAAATCCATAGGAGAACATGAGCATGGTTTAACACTGAAGGCCGCGTTTCGATGGATGTAAAATGCTGGAGGCCTCTGCGCGAGGCTGGAAGCATCACGCAGAGGCTGGAAGTTTCTAAAGTGAATTTGAGAATTTTAGAAAGAGGCTGGAGTTTCTAAAAGTGAATCTTAGAAACTCCAGGCAATCTCAAATTCCGAAGTCCTCCACCACCGCGTCGTTTATAATCATATTGTGGCTTTGGTACGTAAGACCCCAGCAAATATTTTGTGAATCCTTAAGACATCTACTCAAGTTTCTGTCATTTTTAAATCGTAGGCTTCAGCGAGATCGCTTCGACGTTAACGAGCACGTTAAGCAACGTCAGCGGATAAAAGCAAATGTGGAATGTTTATCTTCCACGCCAATTTAATTCGTCCTGTTTGAGCGCAGTCACTATCGACAAAGATGACTTCCTAGGACAGCTGTAGCGCCACTCCTGCACTTCGTGACATAGGTTTGTCGCGTACGTGCTATATTTGCGTCGTTTTTTGACCCAGCGCCGCTCTTTTGTTGCGACACGCCATACTTCACCGTGCCAAGGAACAAAGATTGTCGCTGGGGTCAGCGTTTCTACATGTGCTGGGAACATTAGAGGATAGCATTCGCAATGGTGACGAACGCTACTCGAATGCAAAGCTTCATGCACTTTCGTAACATAAAGGTTCACGTAGCTGCCTAACGCGATTCCCTGCGCAGGCGCTGGGTTGCCAGACGACCCACAACAACCTGGACGTGGTAAACCAGTGTGACACTCTCGTGGTGGCGCTCAAGCCCAATGTGGTGCCCGGCGTGCTGGAGCAAGTGGCGTCCGCAGTGCAAAAGCGACACCTAGTTGTCTCCCTGGCGATGGGCGTCACGCTCAGCGACATACAGCAGGTGGGTCACTATACACTTTTCGCGCGCAGAACCTTTCCGCGGAGTTCCTGTAGTGGTAACTAGTACTGAGTTAGTTAATCGGTAAGGTAATGCGACAAAGAGAGGTGTCGTACTATCGTAACTTGTCACTGAGGAAACTCAAATCAATCGTTAAGGACAAGACCTCTGCGATTGGCTCTCGCAAGGTGCCATATCGCTTAAAGCGCTTCGCAAGAAAGAGTGGCAACTAATGAATGACACCGATGTACAGGAGTGGTCCCCAGTTTCCGGGCTGCTACCGCATGTTATCTTATATGACAGTGCCACAGCCTCGGAACCTTTGGCCACCCTAAAACCTTTCGAATTTTCTATTCTAATGTTGAAGCCCCCTGCCAGTTCACCTTTCACGGACTTCATGGTTCCCTGTTATATAACAGTGCTCGCCAGCCGTCACTAACGGGTGCTGGCTTTTAATTTGAAGTATTGTTATGCGAGGAATGTAGGCCATTTTCACTCTTATCATAGCTTTTCATGATGCGACCCCCTTGTATTATTAAGACCAAAGTGACCTGTAGACGTGGCCACAAGAAACATTGATAGCGTTATATAGCAGCTGTCGCAGTGAACCCGGCTTCGGTTTCGGCAACGCTGTTCGTGAGTTAAAAGTGCCTTTATATAGATATAATAACAATAAAAGTTCGAACCGGAATCGAAACCAGGCAGCCCGCGCGGTCAGTAGCCGGTAGCGTTGCCAGAAATGTGTTCAAGTGTCAGGAGGCGGGAGGGGCGTTTAACTATAATTTATGTATGTTCGTGCGTGCTTTTGTATGTGTACGTGTATATATACGCACGTGCTAATTCGACCAAAAACGACAGTGTGCGCGGAACTCAGGTGTTCTACCACACTGCCTATAAACGAGAGCACGCCTATCTCGCACCCAGGCGCCTTCGGTGGTATACCCTCGCTCCCAGAGACGCCAGAATTTGATTTGTTTTGAACTGCCAAGGTGTGCCTTGCTGGCATGGCAAGCACTGGCTCTGGGACTTTAAAATGTGAGAAAAGCGCCTGTTCATGCTGCACCAGCTGATAAGAAGTCATCTGGGTACCACTGCGCCATCTTCAGATGCAAAAACAACCAGCGCAACAGTAAGATGTTACTCAACACTGTTTGTGAAGATCCCAACACGATGCTGCAATCGTGCTGGTGCGTTATTTTGCGATTGCACACACTTCCATCCGCAAGAAAAAACGCCAAGCTCCGCCGCCAGTGGATATAATCGCAATCGGAAGGAAAAACTACGAGTCCAGTAAAAGTGTACGAGTAAAAATAATTACTGCGTTTACTCAAGTGCAACGCCAGCTGCTCCGCTCTACAGCAGTGATTTGCATGAAGTATGCCTGTATAGCATGGGGCACCAAACCATTGCCGTACTTTTTGGCAGGCTGCATGCCAGTAATAGTTTATATTACGACTCACGCGTAGATGCAAGCACCGCGAACTTATACAACTGTGCAAAGAGACGTGAACGACGTGAAAAGCATAGCTTTCGACTCGGTCACACTGCGGCATGCCTTGACTCACTAGACGAATCTGTGCTTTCGGTTGGCGTCACCGTAGCATTTTAAAATCTTGTTCTGGTTGGTACTTTCGTACGCGTGTGTGTCCCAAGTGCCCGGCATGTGTGGCAAATAAGAAATACATGCAGTGCATGAGCACAAGTTGGAGCGAGGTTCTAGCGCTACGTTGACGCCGACTTACGGCACAAATTCTGCCTTGCCACAGCCAAGGCATGCCGCAGTGCGACTTAGTCGAAAGAAACTCTTTCCACTGTTCGCGTTTCTTTCAAGCGCAGCATTACGTACCTGGTGATGTTGCTTACGAAGTTTGCAATACACGTGCTGTAGACATTCCAGACTGCTGAAGAAGGTCTCCTCGACGTTTCACTCGACATCAGCTTGAGATTCCAGGAGAGGAAAAGCGAGAAACATCCTTACAGCCACCCTCGGGTTGTGCAGTTTCGCGTTCAATTTGCGGAGCGTCTGCTCATGTGGTAGTGCATAATTGTTGCTTCGCCGTGCTTGCAACAGATGGCGCAACGCGCTTTTCAACATGGCAGCACGCACTGAGCTCACTGTTCTGGTGTATAGCCAGTGCCTAAAACGGCCCTGAAAAGAGACCCTATATACAATCGTGGCTCGTTATAACAAAACATCATCGGTACTGTAAGATAGTTCGTTATGACCGATTTTTTTGTAACAGTAAACATCAAACTCCACCTGAACAGGTATGAAATCTGGCTTATGCAAGAATTGTAGGTACAAAAAGGCGTCATTCTAGGCTCAAACCAACTGTAAAACCTCGTCACATGAGCGTCTAAAGTTTTATCCGTTGTGTTCACATGGTGGTGCAATGAGTGAAAGGTGCGTTTCACTGCGATAGCAGCTATATGAACAATCTCGGCTGGATTTCGCGCCAGCGTTCACGTCGGCGTCACTCACCGTATATGTACACGTATATGCAAATGCAAGAAGGAAAAAAAAATCAGAAAAAAAGACTCCAGCACGCGGAATCTAACTTGGGTCCTCTGAATTGCGAGTGCGAGGCGTTAGCCACTGAGCCACCAAAGATCACATCCCCAAACGTTGAAACGGCAAGCTATTTATATCTCCCACTTACCTCTGCAGATGGGACTCGGGAGGGAATCATCGTGGTTTCAGTATTACCAGCAAAACCCACGCGTACTTTGCCCCGCTTAGAGGATGGAGGCGGCGCTCCCTCGCGCACCCTTGTCCAAGTTGCCTTGTCCAACTGAAGGCCCCTGCACTCCTTCTTTCCAGCCGTGTGACGTCACCCTACTCTGCTCGAGGAAGCGAGGCGCCACTCCTCAGGCAACGTTCGGGCAACCTGCGTGAGACGACGCTAGCTGCAACTTTCCCAGCAGTCCTCGTTTTTACTGCCTCGGTGTTGTCGGTGCTGTGTTGCTAGAGAGCTCCTCGCTGGCCACGTGTGCCTTTTTTCTTCGCTGTTCTTCGTGTGGTGCTAAATATATTGTTTTTTGTGCCTGTCTGCCACATATGCGGAAAAATGGAACATTGTTGTGTACCTAACTGCAAAGGGAATTACGACACTGGCCCCAAAGTACGACTGTTCGAGTTCCCTCGCGATCCTGAGCGGAGATCACAATGGCAGCGAGCTGTGCGGCGTGGCGACTTATATATTGCAAAGCTTAAGCATCCACTGGTAAGTGTTTGTTCTTACGTATGTCACCCAAAAATATTTGGGCTCAGAAGATTACTAGGAATGGAACTTTTTGCAAAAATGCGGCTGATAGTAGGACCTATCAATCTGGGAGGAGGGAGCTTTCTGCGCGCATATTTTCCACATGTTACCTACGAAATATGAGGGCATTTACGCATTTTACATGCACGCGACTTGCTGTCATGTGGTTGTTTTTCTTAGAACTCGTTGTTGAGCTAGTTGGAAACTTGTCATGTGGTACTTAGCGCAACTTCGTATTCCTTCGAAAAACACGCTCACATTCACACAGACACACATCTACGCAAATTTGAGGTGCGTTATTCGAGTGAATGCGTGTTTTTTGAGGGAATACGAAGTTGCGCTAAGTACCTGCAACATGGGTTGTTTTTTCGCTGACTGGAATTGCAAGTATTAACGTGAGAAAGCCTATATCAGACCGGAGTTGTGGCATCATTCTGTTTGGTTGCATGCATCAGCACAATTTTGTTTACAAAAGATTGCGTTGCTGCACCCTTCCAAATATGGAATAAAACGCCGCGATTTTTAATAGCGACGCCTGAACTGTCCTAGTTTTGTTACATGTGCACAGAGGCACAATTCACGTGGAAACAAACTGATTTTGGTTAATGTCTTTTGTGCAGATATGCGAATGCCACTTCAAAGAGGAATATCTCCGCACAACGACAAAATATACAGATTGCGACGGTCGCCCCATTGAAGTCAAGATAAAATTGACGTGACTCATGCACGATGCTATACCTACTTTTTTTCAGGACACCCCTGACTACCTGTCAGATACTCACCAATCGAGAGAAAAACCAGGAACGGAGATAAAACGAAGAGAAGATGAGCAACGTCAGAAAGCTATTGAGGAGTCCGTGCTGGAGCACAAGAAGAACTTGGAAGAAAACAAGTTAACATGCCTAGATGACATAAATTCTCGCCTGCACCTGCTACAAGAAAAAAAGTATTGGTCAGTTGTGAACGCCGACGGCCATGTCATCTTTGACCACATCGAGGCGCAAAGATGACATAGAAGAAGCTCCGAAACAATAGAAGAAGCTCCGAATCTTATTTCGTGTATAGTCATATCATCGGATATGTCTGTGTGCGTCTTTGTGGGAGGTGCTCGCCTTACGTCAGACGAACGGCTTGGCATTCCAGAAGCAGTTCACGACATGCGTGTGCTGGTGCAACTTCTGGACGGCGTACAAAAGTACTGTCGTAGAAGAGAACTTAGAAAAGATGAAAAAGTGAATGGAGTGTTAAAGCTTGTGGTTTCCCTCCTCGAGGATCTTTCTAAAGAAGACCTTCTGGAGGATGAAAGAGTAGAAGCAATAATGTTTCTCAGGGAACAGTGCCAGCTCCTGATGTGCCGAAGCAAAAGGTATTCAGCTGAAATGGGAATTCTGTCAACTGTGTTTTACACTATTTCTCCCCTTCGCTACAACTTTTTGCGAAGCAGTGATAACATCGTATTGCTTCACCCTCCGGCAATTCAATGTGTATGTGCCGCCCATGAAGTGAGTCCTTTGAAAGAAAAAAATCAAGAAGGGCTCATACGGTACATGAAAAGAAGGGCCAGCCTACTGAAGTTGCATGAAAGACATGTCACGTTGATACTTGATGAAATACACTTGCAACAGTTCTTTGACTACAAGGCAGGCAGGTTAACAGAAGCTTCTGTTAACAGCACTGAACCAGCCAAAACAGCGCACGTTTTTATGGTTCAGAGTTTACTGTCAGCATTTAGAGATGTAGCACATATATTACCAGTGTCTAAAATTACAGCTGAAGAACTACATAAGGTGCTAAGAGAAGTAATAATCATTTTTGAAGATTGTGGCCTTCACATAGTGGCAGTAATAATGGACAATAACTCAATTAACAGAAAGGTAATGTCACTGTTCGCAGAAAGCAACCATTTAGAAATAGTGTATCTTCATCCAGCGGATCCTCAGAAACCTATATTTCACATTGTTGACACAGTACATTTGCTAAAATGCATTCGAAATAATCGGATTAACCAGAAAAATTCTGACAAGTGCCAGTATTATCCACATTTTGATTGTTTTGATAAGGAGAACAAAAGGCTCGAAGGTGCATCGTTCACAACTTTAAGAAAACTGCATGAAGCTGAAAAAAATAGTGTTGTGAAAATTGCTTATGGGCTAACTTACAAGGCTCTGAACCTAAATAACCTAGAGCGATAAAATGTTAAGTTCTTTGCGGAAGCCAATGATGTGAGTGCCGAAGGCATCCCGCTTTTCGAGGATCGTTGTCACCCTGTTCAGGCAGGCGTGCTCCATGACTTTCCCGACGCAGGACGTCAGAGATATCGGCCTCATATTTCGAACCTCAAGTGGTTTACCTGGCTTGGGTATTAGTATGACATCCGCTGTCTTCCATTCCTGTGGAATATGGCCTTCCTTCGAGCATGCGTTGATATACTGACGTAGCTTCTCGATGGCGTCATCGTTCAGGTTCCTCAGAATTCGGTCGGTGATCTTGTCAGGACCAGGCACCGATTTAGTCTTTAGTAGCTGGAGGACTGCTCTAATTTCCTGCATGGAAAATTCCGCGTCTAGTTGCTCCTTGGGAGTTCCGTAGTATTCTATGTGACTCTCGCCTGCTGGGCGAGTGAGGTGCGTCTGGATGATCTCCTTTACGAAGGCCTGCGGGTCGTCTTTGTACTTGTGTCGCAGCTTGGTCATCTGGACATGAGTCGCCGTTCTCGTGCTGGTTGGATCCAGCAAGTGCCTGAGAATCTTCCATGTGCACCTTGCACTCATGTTTCTGTCCATCGTATCGCATAGCTCCTGCCATTCGTGTTCGCACTGTCGAACGCAGTGGGCCTCAATCTCTCGGCTGATCTTGGCAATCTTCTTGCGTATCTTCCTGTTCAGTTTCTGCTGACTCGCTCTGCGCTGCATAGATTTCTTGGCCTCTACAAGATGCGCAAGCCGGCTGTCCACGCTGGACGGCTCGGGAACGCTGTCGTCGACGCTTCCGCAGAGCCTGTCACCACCTTCAGGTTCTTTTCTCCTGTCTGGCCATTCTATTTCTTTTGTAGCTTTTTCTACGTCCGCGAGTAGTTCCCTACACCATTCCCCGATATCCTCGATCGGCCCTTCCTGCTTCTCTCGTTCTCTTTGCTCTCGAAACTTGTCCAAGTCCACGACTCTAGCTTTTTGGCAGCCGTCCATCTTGTTTTTATCCTCTCCCATTGTCATTTACAGGACTCTGTGGTCGCTCCACAGATCCTCAAAGGTGTTCTACCAGGTGATCGTGCCCGCGTATGACCAAATGGAGAGATCAGGAGACGTGTCGCGGCACGCGCCCTGTCTGATCCGGGTGTTCGATGCCAGTTCATTAAGTAGAACCAAGCCAAGCTCGCCCATCAGTTCGGCTAGCTTCTTCACTTTGGGGGAGTCAGCTCCATATCCCCATTGCGTGTGTGGTGCATTGAAGTCTCGGCAGATTAGGAGAAGACTGGAAGCGGCCTTCGCCATCGCTTCTCGAAAAAGGGCGCTAAAGTTGTGCGTGAGGCCCCTTTTTGAAGGGGGGCTGTACACGTTGAGCACGAATAGGCTGGTCTTCCTGTTTCCAATGCAGGGCACGACCTCAATCAGATTGTGGTCTATGTCACACTCCTCGCTGATATCAAGTGAATGGTCGATAAAGGCCGTCCCCTCTCTTAACCAGGGTACGCACCTTTATGTCTTTCTCCATGCATTCGCACGGAGAGCCACATGTCACATAGCCTGGTAGCTGAGCCCGGTCGAAAGGTTCTTGCAAAGCAATCACGTCGGGAAGTTTGCTTTTCGAGAGAGTTTTCATATATTGCACCATTGCAGCTTTTTTGTTTTTGAATCCTCTATATGTATACAGTTTCATTGCCAGACGGTGCGTCTGCCGACAAACTTGCGAAACGTAGCCCCATGGTTGCTATTGAAAGGTGGTGGGGGAACGCAACTGTCGGTGCGTCCCTCCTTTTTCAGCGTGGGTGGCGTTGACATTGCTGCTTCTGTTTAGAATGGTCGATGCGACCCCTTTCAATTCGTCGTGGCTTTGTCCCTGTTGCTGCAACTGCGCCGTTCCGCATTCCAAATATTCGATGCGCTTATTCACGGCTGCAAGTTGGTTATTGACCGCGGCATACTGTGCGTTCCTTTCGGCGTCAGACTCGTTCAGCCGAATTAGGAGCGTCTGAAACATACGCTTGAGCAATGCTGAATTAAAAAGCCACGACAGGACATGGCTGCATTAGTCTACATCGCCGGCTACTGTGCACACGCAGCTCTTAAACGACAACCATGTGATGACTGCCGTGACATACTGACAGTAATGGAACGAGAGCTAGAAGAAAGTGATTATGTGCTGATTGACAGCATCAGTCGAGGTGGATTGAAGTTCCCACAGCCAGCTGTAGTTCATGCAGTCCTCTGCGTGAAGGTTGTTTTCGACCGTGTCACTAGTAAAGAACATGAGCTTCTGTTTCATGCTGAAAGTAATCATCGATCGACTATACTTAGTGTTCTTATGTATTTGTTGAATGACAACGAAGAATTTGATGCTTGTGCAGCTGGCCACACTCCAGATTCAGTAATGAAGAATGTTTTGCTGCCAGCCATAAACATCCTGCTAAAAAACTACGCTTTTCTGAGAAATGAAGCGCTGAGCATAAAGAGAGCGAATGGAACGAAAAGAAAGTTAGTTACTGTGAAATGATCATGTGTTTGCATTTCTGTGTGTATGTGTTTGTGTGTGTATGTGCATGTATATTCACTCCCGAAATAAAATTTATTTTTTGTTCTGAAACTATTGTACGTTTGGTATCACTCTCCGAACTGCTTGGAAATGTGGATAGTGCACAGGTTTAAAGAACAGTGATGACGGAATTCTCCAAGCTGTAAAAATTATATTTGGTGAATTCCAATGACCAAGGCGACGAGATATTACAACTCATAAGATATTCCAACCTGTAAACCCAACTACAAAACAACAAAAAAAGCTTTCAGGTTTGTTCATTAGAATAAAAGTGTGTCTTGCGTAGCATTCGGTGACAAGCACCAGCTGCAATGTCCCGCAAACAGATAACAAAAAAGGCAGCAAAAAATACAAGGACACACTACAGCTTTATGTGCGAATGTACATATGCGGTCGAGACAAAAGGCACCTCTAGGGTGGAATGCCCCAACATATGACCCAGCCTTGCATTAGCCTCTTGATCATCGCATTGACTTATTTAACGCGAATGAAAGAAAAAGCTGCGTTTATAGGTAAAGCGACCGCAGTCAAGAAGCGCCGCGTACGGGCTGAGTGTGGTGACGTCACGGAGGAGTGCGGGGGGCCTTCAGTAGTATAGGTGGCGTTGCCTTATCTCGCGGGGAAGATCGTACGTCTTGGCTGGCCTCGGGTTTTACCTTGAACGATTCTGTAGTAGTTACCGGGTGTACAAAGGTCACTGCAATCATTGCAGTCTCCGTTTACGAAAAGCACGCGCTTTTCAGACAATGCGAAAAAACAACTGAGACGCTTATTCACGAACATCTGTACCTGTGAGTACGTTTCGTGCGTCATTTTCACGCGAGAAACGTGGGACACGTTTCAATCTGCGTTCCATTTTGCGCATGACCTTCCAATTATTTGATATCGCGTTCATTGTTTCGCCTCTGCAGCAAAGCTGCGACTTTTGTTCCCCGCTGGTTGACTAAAATTTCCGCAACATCCGCCCATTCTTCCATTCGTCCATCCGTCATCCATCCATCCACCCATCCTTCCATCCACTCGTCCATCCGTCCTTCATAATCTGCCTGATTTGCGCAGAGACTTCCCTCGGAGACGCGTGCTGTGCGCGTGATGCCCAACACGCCGTGCCTGGTGCGCCAGGGCGCCAGCGTGTTCGCCCGCGGGATCGCGGCCACAGCAGAAGATGCGAGCCTGGTGTGCCGACTGCTGGCCAGCGTGGGCCACTGCGAGGAGGTGCCCGAGTCACTCATGGACGTCGCCACGGGGCTGAGTGGCAGCGGACCGGCATACGTGAGCTCCACATGACAATTGATGATGAAAAAAAAAACCTGACAGGGTCCCTTATGAACTTGCCTAAGCTAACTTGATAGTGAAAGGCATCTGCTTCTTTTCTAAGGCGAAAGTTCTAGACGTAGAGTTTCCTATAAATACGCTTTAGGAAAGGCTGGACGCTAGTGTTTATGGGAGCTGCGGCGATTCAGCCTGCATGGAAATGATGGGTAGTACACAAATTTGTCTAATCTTCGTTCTTTCGGCTTTATTTGGCTTCTTGTGGCTTGGAGCCAATTAGAAACGAGACGACAATCAGCTACAAATGTTCGGCAGTTGCATTTCACCACCTTAACCTTTCAGGCACACTAATTCAAATTGTGTCACGAAGTTTACAACGGTCCGTTCTTTTATTGCAAACAAAACAAAAAAACCGCAATAAACAAAGCCACAAGTGCGTTTGAAGCGACAAGCACGAAGACTAGGCCAATTCGTGTACTGCGCCATCATTCCCATAGTGGCTGAATTATCGCAGCGCCAGAGTCCCCTCTAGCTAATTTTTTGAAACTTTATGGCCTGTATAGATGCCTCATCAAACGCGAATTTTGACCATCGGCGTTCCCGCGTCCCGTGGCGTCGAGGAGGTGTGCGAAAAAAAATATCGCCATCTCGAGATGACGTCACGCGTGCCGTCACAATGACGTCACAAACAGTCGAAATAGGCGGCGCTTCATGACGTCTCAGTGGCGTCACAATACATTGATGATGTCATCACACTGCACGTCTCGTCAAATTCTCACTTCTGGGGTCCTCGTTTTATGTGTAAAAATCGCATTGCATCTTCACTTAGTCAAAGGTGCCTTCGATCACGGAGGCGATTCGAAACCAAGTTAGATGCCTCCATTTTCGGAGGCAGGACATAAACCTAGTTATGTGCATAAATCTGTCGAAAGAAAAAGATGGCGGCTTTCGCCATAGAGTTTCTTAAATTAACTAGAGGGGACTCTGGCTGGTGGGGTTGTTCAGCGACCATTGGAATGATAGCGTAGTACACGGATTTGCCTAGTCTTCGTGCTTGCGGTCGGCGAATCGCACGTGTGCTTCGTTTATTGCTGTGTCTTGGTTTTGTTTCGAACGAAAGAACAAACCGTTTGAACTTCGTGAGCCGATTTGAAATGAATATCTTAAAATGTGAAGGTGGCGAAGTGCAACTGCCGAACATTTGGAGATTATCGTTTTGGGACAAAAGCAGCTTCAAACCAGGCGAAACGAAAAAGAGAATGTAAGATACAAAGATTAGGCAAATCCTTGTATTAGGCCACAATTGCCATGCTCGCTGAAGCACCATGCATTGCAGTTTTCATAGACCCTAGCGCCAGAGTTCCCTCTAGTCTCTGTGTAGGAAACTCTATGGCTTTCGCCCTTCATTGTCTTTGTTTGTAAGTGAGTGTGTAAAGGGCCTTGTGTGTTTTTATTTAAAGCGCAGATCTTGCCGCTTTAAATAAAGCATAGCCGCCACTCCCACACAATTTCAATCCCTGCAGGTATTCGTCATGATCGAAGCTCTCGCCGACGGAGCCGTAAGACAAGGGATGCCCAGAGATCTTTCGTACAGACTAGCTGCCAACACTGTCATGGTAAGTTGGCTACGCAAATTGTTATATCAACTAGAACAGAACGCACGTATCAAACTGGGCGTCACCGATATATCAGAAGGACACTGTACAGCGCTGCAACCTGCAAGATATGCGACATATAACCTGCTAATTTCAAATACAATCTCTGGGAATGTGAGCAAATACTAAAGACACTAATACAGGTGTTTTAGATGAGGTGGGCTGCACAGATCAGAGCTCGTCAACCAAATCTGGGGCGAACAGCAGGCCTTGGCGTCCCGAGCTGGTAAACATCGGTCCGGGCCAAGTCAAGTCAAGTTCCTTGAGTCTGTGACGCACACACACACTGGGGGATCGGCCAACAACCGGATAGTTTTAAAATAATTCTTTTATAAAAGGAGGATTGGTTTATTAAAGAGAAATATAAAACAGGGTAAGTTTGTTAATGGAATAATAAACCGTATTAGAATAAAAACGATGAAGCGGCTCACTTGAATTTTAAAATGAGTTTGAAGTAAAAAAATTAGAGCGAAAATAGATTTGCAAAACTTAAACCTCTTGGAACCTTTGACGAACTGCTGCAACGCGTTGGAAATTTTCCCGTCACTGTGCCCAAGAGACGAAGCCCCGAAAGAAAGCACATTTAGCGCATTTATATATATTCCAAGGGGGCAGAAAACGGCACCTAAACTGTTTTTGCGTAAGGGAGAGTATCTTTTACCGGAAACGAGGTAATGCTCGGCCAACTCATTTACTCTACGAAAAGAACAATGAGGGGAGGCTGCCAGAACAGCTCTGCGTAAATATAAACTTAGCTGCTGGGGCCTGACAACGCAGTCTAGTCATTGCGACTTCCATTGCTCAAGTTTGAACGTATATTACTGTTCCAATGACACACGCAGTGCTTGAAGTCTGATGTGGCCGTTAGTGAAGGTGCAGGAAAATCATCTAACAGCAGTTTCCTCCTTAATCTAGCACCTATAATAAATTCGAATGCCAGTAAAACCTCAATAACAGGCCAATTTAAAGACGAATTTGCCAGCCCGTCTGCCATTTCATTCATATAAATGCTCTTATGTCCTGGAACCAAGACCAATTTGATCAGATTGAGATGCAAGGGAACTAATACTTTGAAGCACTCTGAGCATGCGAGTTCTCATTTGCAGTAAGGGATGCACATACTGATAGTGAATCCGTCAAAACTACCGCAGAGCTTATTGATTCCGTTATCTTGCAGAGAGCTAGAGTTAACACAAAAAAAATTCTGCTTTAAAATTAGGCACAAAATCTGGAAGGCGAAGAGAAAAGAACCCATATAGGGTAGGAGAAAAAAACTATCAATTCCACATTTTTTCTCCTTGTGACGCATCAGTCGCTATGACTGCTTTTATAGTCGTATGTACCAGATAATCGTTTACTAAGGGTGACCGGTAGCTATATGATATAGCTTCTTCAAATCTGGGCGGCATCAATTGTTTCTGATACTGATTGAAGGCACATGAATAATTCGAACGCTCAATGCGCACAGAAAGCTCTGTATAACCAGAATTTGAGGCGTATGAACTCTCAGTCAGTATTGTCTAAAAAACGAGTCAGGGTGGGCAACAAAAACTGTTTCTAAGCGCCTTACTGGTGATCCGTACAGCCTGAAAAATGACTGCGTAGCTAATAATTTAAAACGGGTAGCAAGTGAGGGAGACATAGCTTTCGTATACGAGACCTTTATTGCTACAAACCATAGATGTGGCATTGCACGTACGCGTCCGCTTCAGCTACGGGGGGTACCGGGTTCGATCCCCAGTGCCGGCCGGCCACTCACCGGTTTATAAATGTGGGACAGGCGGGCTTCAGGGCGCTGACGCAACGCCCCGTGGTGAAGCTTACTCTGCCTGGAGGACTCCCAACGCATTTTGCGAGACCCTGGTGATTGCTACAAACTTAGGGAGACCTAAGCCTATAGTGTCAATGCTTGCCTCTCGATGACTACCAGAGGATATATGCCGAAAGCAGGTGCCCCAGCGTTTAACACGCACCCAAACTCCAATTATTCGACAGCAGGTGTCATTTGCTTCTTTCTGTCCACATATAACCCGTTGCACTGGAAATTATTCCACGGTGAACGTTATCCCAATTTCCGATTTCTGCTTCACTTTATAGAAGTTTTTGCCATACGCAACCTCCACTGCTGTTCAGTGACTCGCGGCAGAACTGCGTACTTTGAGAGTGTGTCTGCATACTAACGAATTCAATAACTGAACGAAAATAGGTCTTTATGTACGCTAAAAGAAATATTGACTGATCGCCGGCCGAAATGACTTAGAGGGTCGGTGGCAGGCCTTCCTTCTTCTACAGTGGAGGTCTCGTTCAGACAAAGAAAGTATAATAATTTTGTGGCAGATGTGATGGGTTCTATACGTTGTTCACAGATGAGACCATCAGTCATGCGAGCATCCAGTACTTCAATGTTTTGAGTAATGGCAGGGACAGTACCTTGGTCGCCACCGTGGTTGACCATGAGGAGTTACTACCCTTTTAGCCTCATTCGTGGCCAATAACAAATGCAAACAGGTCCTGTACCACGTGGTTTTGTTCCAGCATTCGAGTCCTAAGTTGTCCCTGACAAAAAACAGGCATCAGTCCTCATCGTCATATTTTGAAGCGTCAGCGTTGATGACGCCAACCATATGCCTCAGTGTTTACCTTTCTGATCTATTGCTATTATATACGAGATGCCTAATGGCATTCGACGCCGCAAGCTGCAATCGCCAAGGCAGTTAGGGCAATATAAACACTCATCGGAAAACGTACGCGGGGAGCGTTACGTGCTTAGCTTGCCTCAGCATCGGTTATACGGTTTGAACGCTCGTTGTGAGCCCGTTTTTACTGTAACGAATGGCACTGTGTGTTGTAGGCGTGATACCAAAGAGCGTGTACTCTTTTCACATCAATCACGAGTGTTTCAACAACGGAGAAGAGTTTGGCACTGGATTGTCCACGAAAACTGCGGCTAGCTTTCAGGTCACTAGTAGATGCCTATAGCAACCAGTTGGCACAGCTGCACTGGGTTTCACCGAGTGCGCCACCTGAAATCACGTTGAAGGAAGGAAAGGATGGGGAAGGGGGAGAAGTGGAAATGAGAATACAGAAACCAAAACACAGGTTTGTAAGTACAGTCTAAGGTAGCCAGGGTCCAAAGGTGAGCATCGTAAATAATCGGCTACCCGGGTGTGAGAGTGATAACAACCTCTAGTAAAGTTGTTTGCGCCTCATGGCGCACATGTCTCACTCATGGCCGCATTTCGTGTTCACAACTACCATGCGGTAGGGGGCGTTGTGCTCGAGAGTGCTTGTTATCACCACCACCATCATCATGGTTAGTGCGTAGCACCGGCAGTGAGGTCTGATGGCAGCCATGGGTGGCGGTGCCCGAGATATGAGCGTTTCTCTTTCGTGTGTGGCAGTTGGTGCGAACGGTTGCTCTAGCGGTGGGCAGCACCGCGCGTCGTCTGCGGAGGGCTCACGTGGAGAGTCAAGCGTTGGCGAAACCGCCTTGTGTGTGTTCTTGTGCTTGCTATGTTGTTGCGTGTTGTGTAATATTGTGTAAGGTTGCGTTTAGCGTGTCGATCACAATGTGTGTAGCAATTCGGCTGACGATATCGTCGCCCTAAAAGTAGTTAGATGTGTGTTGACTGGTTGGTTTGGACCGCGTCTACTGTGCCCGTTTACTCCAAGAGCGTGGCGCTTTCTCCACTTTAAAGCCTAGTTCACACTGAAACATCCGCTTTCTACAGCGACCGAAATTCTCCTGCCGCCGAAACACAGCGTTGTTCGCACTGGACGCGCCCCGAGCCACCGAATATGCCATCTACCACTGGACAAACGCGGGATAGATGCGCTGTCACCCGGTTGTTGTCACGGCTCGCAAACGTCACTACGATATCCGGTGGTGTATACTTCGATGATTCTCGTACGCAGGAAGCAAGAAAAGACAGTACTGCTTACTTTGCTGGCAAGTGGATGTCTTGTAATGCACGAAGAGCAGAAAAAAAACCACCGACGCCAGCGGCGTTGGCGAGTTCGTTTTGCTCTGCAACACCGCAACAAGCTCGGTCACGCCAACAGCAAGCTCGGTCACCTCTTCCACGAAATACGGACGCGAAGTAGACACAGAGTAGGTTAAACTACCGTTGGTTTTAACATTCAGTTACGTGCGCTGCGGCATAACAAGTGATGAGGGCTTGACCGCCATTTTTTTAAATTCCTTGACTAGCGCTCCTATTGGTCCGCGGTGACCGATTCGGCGGCAGACGCCGCAAAAATCGGTCCGAGAGCGATCGGCGCGGAAAGGGCCCTTTCGGCGAATCTCGCCGCCGCCGAACCGGATTCGGAGCACTTTCGGCGGCCGGAATGCTCAGTGTGAACGTGGCCTAAGACTCCACACCGGGCACACTTGCAAAACAAACATGAATGGGCACAATATGACGCGTTGCTATAAGCTGATGATTTTGATTTGATTGATATGTGGGGTTTAACGTCCCAAAACCACCATATGATTATGAGAGACGCCGTAGTGAGGGCTCCGGAAATTTCGACCACCTGGGGTTCTTTAACGTGCACCCAAATCTGAGCACACGGGCCTACAACATTTCCGCCTCTATCGGAAATGCAGCCGCCGCAGCCGGGATCCGAACCCGCGACATGCGGGTCAGCAGCCGAGGACCTTAGCCACTAGACCACCGCGGCGGGGCGCGTTGCTATAAGCGAACCGATGAGAAAGAAATGGAATGAATGAGAGAGAGAGAGAGAGAGAGGGAAGAAAGGAACCAAGAGAGAGACGAACACGCAGAAACAGAAAGAAAGAAAATGAAATCGAAAGAGAAATAAACAGAAAGAGACAGAAAGCATAATACAGCCATGTATACTATAGTATAGCAAGGAGGTGGGAAGCTAAGTGAGAGTGGGGAGTAGGGAAATGAAAAGCGCAGATGGTAAAGCGTAGCATAGCCGTTTATACTGGTTATGGCCCCTAGAATTCCATGGAATTACAGAGACGGTACTACAGTGTAGCAAGGGAATGTGAAAGTGGGGGGTTGGCAGTAGCGAGGGTGAGAAGGAGGGAACGGGGAAGGTCACCAGATCCGACGTTTCTACATTGTTCAGTGGCAGTGGTGTGCAGCTGCCTCATTTTTTATGTTTTTAGGTGAGGACGATGTTGCGAAATATCCCAAACGATGAAACAGGCCAACATCTTCGCTATCGAATGGTTCTTGTAATTTTGAAGCTTGCTGAAGCGGCAGTTGGTGGAACACACTTATTGTTCCCCTGCAGGGTGCTGCCAAGATGGTGCTGTCGACGGGGAGGCATCCCGGGGCGCTGAAAGACGACGTGAGCTCCCCTGCCGGCACCACTTGCGAAGGTCTATGGGAGCTCGAGAAGGCCGGATTCCGAGCAGCGCTCATCGAGGCAGTCGCTGCGGCTACTGCAAGGGCCGCTAGAGGTCGCCACTGAAACCTTTTGACTGGTGCTAGATGTATGGTTACATATACGATGCTCGCTAGTTGTAATGCTGCGTACGCTAAGAGTGCCGACTTAATCCAGCTCAATGGCATGCAACTCCATATGCGTGTTCTTATGACTGCCGCTCACGCTATACAGCCGAGCTGTGTCATATACAAAGCTGAGATTTGAATGCCTCGCCTTGTTTTTTTTTGTATGGTGTCCCAAAGCTTGTAAACTCGCCTAACTTTACATGCTGGAGCTTAATGCGCAGGGCTGTGCATGACATAACCAGTCCTCTTTGTTACTGAACTTTTACCATGACGTATATACGTACGTGGAGATAATGTTTTCAGCGAGTATTGTAGAAAATTCAATTTTCGTTCGTTTAATTATTCACACAATAATATTTCATATGATAATTTTTAATGTGTAAAATATCCATCGATCTTGATGTTAGGCTTTTAAATGTTTTTGGAAGCCACTGTTTGTGACGGTGTCATTTTTGTGACATGGCTCATCGAAATAGACTAGCCATTGCTTCGGTGATTTTTTCCTGAATTACGACTTCAGTGACCATGTCCTTAATGGCTTGACACTCAACCAAAGAGAGATTAAACGTTTTTGAGCACCATGCTTCATAGATTTTTTGTATGCATATCTATTTATTGAAAATACCTTACAGGCCAGAAGGCATTGAGTAAGGGGGGTTACAGTGAAAAATCGCATGTAAATTTCAAAATAAAAACGGTACAATGTCGGTTAGTAATAACAAAAAAAAATTAACAAAGCAATAAGTCAGCAATACGTAAACATGGCGATGAAGTATATAAGAACACTCCGTAACATAAAAACCCTCGGAAAAGAAGTAAAAGAACGTCAAGATGAAATATTAAGGAAATGCGTCTGAACTTTTTGCCGAAACGTGTTGGGGTTGCTATCAGAGGCGATATCGTCGGGAAGATCATTCCACATGCGGATGGCTTGTGGTAGTGCGGATGTGTTGAACGCGTTCGTGTTTCCAAAAATGCGAGTGAAGCTGAGATGGTTATGTAATCTGCGTGACGTGTAGAGCGGGCGTTGAAGGTGCAACGACGATGTTTTGTTACTGTAGACGTACTTATGAAATAGGCATAACAAGGACACGTGACGACGAACATTTAATGCTTGGAGGGAATGATGGAGTTTAAGCTGAGTCACACTGGAATTGATGTCATAGTTTCTAGAAATGTAACGGGTGGCTCTGTTCTGGATTGTTTCCAGCATGTTAATTTGATACTGAGCGGAAGGGGACCAAACAGATGAGGCATATTCAAGTTGCGGGCGGACGAAAGTTAGGTAAGACATTTTGCGAATGTTAGTGGGACAACGACGAAGGTTTCGGCGTAAATACCCCAATGTTTTGGAGGCTTTTGCACAAACGTTAGTGATGTGATCAAACCAGGAAAGCCCTGGTGTAAGGTGGATGCCAAGATACTTGTAAGAAGTCGCCGTGGAGAGCCTGTCACATTGCATATGGTAAGTGAAGTTAGATATGACCTGTTTACGTCCAAAAGAAACAACTTTACACTTATTAGTATTCAACCTCATAAGCCAAGTGCTGCACCAGTTAGAAATAGTGTTCAGATCATCTTGAAGGATGGAGTGATCGTTAGGACAGTTTATAGGTCTGTAGAGCATGCAGTCATCAGCGAAGATTCTGATATGCGATGATATGTTAGTTGGGAGGTCGTTGATGTAGATAAGAAAAAGTAATGGGCCAAGAACGCTCCCCTGTGGGACGCCAGAAGAGACATACGAAGAGGGAGAGGAAGAATTATTAACGATTGTGAACTGCTTGCGAAGTGACAGAAAATTGCGTAGCCAAGATAAAGTGAGGGAGTCTAATCGGAGGGCAGATAATTTTGAAATAAGGCGACAATGGGCGACACGATCGAATGCTTTGGCGAAATCAAGAAATATGCAATCAGTCTGTAGGCCATTATTTATGTTGTAATGAATGTCTGTAGTGAATTCTAGTAACTGTGTTTCGCATGACATGCCCTTTCTGAATCCGTGCTGGTTTGAAAAGAAGAATTTGTTAGTCTCGAGGTGACTGTATACGTGGGAGGCGATTATGTGTTCGAGGAGTTTGCAACATATGCATGTGAGCGAGATTGGGCGATAATTTTTAGGTGAGTTCTTATCTCCGGATTTAAAAATGGGTACTACTTTGGCTATTTTCCAGTCGTCTGGAAGTTTTCCAGACGATAGCGACTGTCGAAAAATGTGGTATAATGTAATGCTAGATATGGAAACAGTATTTTTAATTACCTTAGAGTTGATATCATCTATACCAGCTGATGAGGATGCCTTAATCTGTTTAATTCGACACGCGATACCCTCCACCGTAATTTCAATAGGCTGCATGTATTGGAAGTTGTAATCAGGGATATGTGGTACGTCAGAAGAATCTTCTTGGCTAAATACAGATGAAAAAAAGGTATTAAAAGTAGTGGAGCACTTGTAGTCTGAAAGCGGAATGTTGTTTTCATTAAGTAATGACAACTGGTTGGAACCGTGGTCAGGGGATATGAGGCGCCAGATTTTTTTTGGATTATTTTGCAGAAGAGAAGGTAGGTCGTTGTGAAAATATTTTTCTTTGGCGTTGCATATTGCTTTACAGTAGTCAGTCAAGTACTGCTTGTATTTTTCCCAAGCGGAGGGCGTAGCACTGCGTTTGGCATTGCAGTACAGGCGTTTTTTCTTGTTTCTTTGCTTACGGAGGGATTTAGTGAACCAGGGATTAGATAGATCATTAGAAACAGTGATAACAGGGATATATTGGTTTATCAATGAAGACATCTTGTCTCTAAAAAGCACCCAGTTTTCATTTACAGACCTGTTGTAGAATGACGGAAAGAGGACATTGCTAAAAAATTCTTCGAGCTGTGCACTTATTTTGTCAAACTCTGCTTTGCTGTAGTCCCGAATTTTCTTTTTGGATATTCCTGCAAATGGTACAGGTAAGTGCAACGTTACCTCGATTAAATTGTGATCACTGAAGCCCTTTAGGCAAGAGACTGTCCTCACTGAATCAGGAGCATTAGTTAGTAATAGGTCTAACGTATTTAAACCACGGGTTGGTTGATCAATGACTTGCGAGAGGTTAAAGTCCAAGATTAAGTTAATGAATTCTGTGGAAAGGCAGCATGGTGATGAGAAGTTTGTCCAATCAATCAGCGGGAGGTTGAAGTCACCGAATAGGTAAACTACACCAGTAGGGCAAAGATCTTTGGCATTTTTGATGCTATGACGAAGATCACGTACAAATGTGTTATTATAATCAGGCGGACGGTAACAATTGCCAACCAGAATTTTAGCGTGTTTAGTCACACACATTATCCAAATTATTTCAATGGGTGAGTCAAGATTCAGTACATACGAAGAGATTGTATTTTTTACACCAAGAAGTACACCACCACCTCTCCTGTCGACGCGATCTTTGCGGTATATGTTATATCTTTCACTGCCAGCAAGAACTTCGTTATTTGTGATTGCAGGGTATAGCCAAGTTTCCGTGAGCACGAGTATATCTGAATTGTTGTCTTCCAGAAAAGAGCAGATTGTATCGCGCTTGGGTATTATGCTTCTAATGTTAGTAAATGATATCAGAAAAGAAGGGGTCGCCAAATGTGATTTAGGTTTCTGGTGGTGTTTAGGTGGACATGTTTTGGTTGCGAGCTATCTTTCTGATAGAATAACGGTTTTGCTGGCATGATCAAGTATGTAGGTTTTGCCATCCATGCGTAGCCTGTCAACTGAGAGCTTAAACGGTTTTCTTTGCGTTTTAGCGAATTCAATTAGGCTTTTTCGTGCCTGTCGCGTAGCTAGAGAAAAATCTTCTCCGATAGAATATTTTGACCCTTTTAGTTTTGGAGCTGACGCAAGAATTTGCTGCTCATCTTTAAAGAAAGTCAGTTTGGCTATTATAGGTCTCTGTTTGCTGTCTCTGAATTTCCCCAGCCTGTGCACACGCTCGAATTGTGCGCCAGTCAAAGAAATGTTGAATTTTTCGGAGCAGAATTCGATTATTCTTTTTTCAGATGCTGCCCATCCCTCCTTAGGGTCATCTTCTATTCCAAAAAAAAGCAAGTTAGACCGCCTCTGTCTGTTTTCGGTATCGTTACACCTGGACGTAATCTCGGTCAAATGATCCGAAATTTGGTGTAGGGAGTTATTAGGCGTACCGGTACCAGTTGCCGAACGTGATGCGACAGATGATTCAAGCGCTAAAATGCGTTCAGTCAAACGAGCCACTTCGTTCGTAGAAGCCGTCAGTTTTTCAATGGTCTCGCTTAATTGCGCTGACAAGGCTGCATGCCCTTCCTCTAATTTCTGTATGGTTAACATAGCTGCGGCGAAAGCCTCAGACTCGATCTTGCTCATAGGCCCTGGGTTCGATTCAATATCACCCGACAGCATGAGCAGCATATCAAAGATTACCAGACAGAAACGAGATATTCGTGACAAAGATCGCTTCAAAGCATCACACCATTCGGCTGGGCACGACACCGCAATCAAACAGTAATTGCTACTCCTAACACAGACGGCGTATTTGTAGTCACTGACCTGCAAATTGAGCGGTTGAAACACATGCATCTCTGGTGCGGTGCCGTGCCCGAGGTGATCTGCCGGTGATTCCCTTAAATATGCTGAGCCGGTTCCGTCAGGCGTAGTCGTCGATGCCCCTAGCGGCCAGATGTGCGTCCAGATTTGCTTGTTCAGCGTCGGCATGAAAAATGCAGACGCAGGCCAAGCCGGTGAAGTGCCATCGGGGACCAGTGCGCACGTGCCAGCAAGGTAGGAGCAGACAGCCCAGGTAATCGTGGCCTGCAAATTGAGCGGTTGAAACACATGCATCTCTGGTGCGGTGCCGTGCCCGAGGTGATCTGCCGGTGATTCCCTTAAATATGCTGAGCCGGTTCCGTCAGGCGTAGTCGTCGATGCCCCTAGCGGCCAGATGTGCGTCCAGATTTGCTTG